ATATACTGCTGCAAACGTTTCTGAATTATCTTCAGTAAGATCTTACTTGCATGTGATATTAATGATATTGTTCTATAATTTCCACATTCTGTTGGATCACCTTTCTTTGGAGTGAGTACAAATATGGATCTCTTCCAGTCAGTTGGCCAGGTAGCTGTCTTCCAAATCTCTTGGCATAACCAAGTGAATGCCTCCAATGAGGCATCCGTTTGTTGAAATATCTCAATGGGTATTTTATCAATTCCTGGAGCCTTGTTCTTCAGTGCAGCTTCAACTTCTTCCTTCAATACCATTGGTTCTTGATCATATGGCACCTCCTGAAATTGATGAAGAATTGACCAGGTCTTTTTGGTACAGTGATTCTGTGTATTCCTTCCATCTTCTTTTGATGTTTCCTGCATTATTCAGTATTTGCCCATAGAATGTTTCAATATTGCAATTCGAGGCTTAAAGTTTTTCCTGTTCTTTCAGCTTGAGAAATGCCCCTTTTGGATTTCTAACTCCAGGTCTTTGCACATTTCACTACAGTAATTGGCTTTGTCTGCTCAAGATGCTCTTTGAAATCTACTGTTCAGCTCTTTTTTTCTTGTCATTTCCTCCATTTGCTTTAGCTACTCTCCACTCAAGAGCAAGTTTCAGAGTCTCTTCTGACATGCAATTTGGTTTTTTCTTCCTTTCTCATCTTTTTAATGACCTTTTGCTTTCATCATGGATGATGTTCTTGATGTCATCCCACAATTCTTCTGGTTTTCAGTCAATGGTGTTCAATGCAACAAATCTATTCTTTAAATGGTCTCTAAATTCAGAAGGGAAATAATCAAGATCGTATTTTGGCTCTTGTGGACTTGTTTTGTCTTCAAGTTGAACTTGTATATGAGCAGCTGATGGTCTGTTCCACAATCAGCTCCTGGCCTTGTTTTGGCTGAAGATATTGAGCTTTTCCATCACCTCTTGCCACAGATGTAGTCAATCAGATTCCTGTGTAGTCTATCTGGCAAAGTCTATATGTATAGCCACTGTTTGTGTTGTTGAAAAAAAGTATTTGCAATGAATTAAGTCATCGGTTTTACAATATTCTATCATGTGATCTGCGTTATTTCTGTCTCCAAGGCTGTATCTTCCAACTACTGGTGATTCTTCGTTTCCAACTTTTGCATTCCAGTCACCAGTGATAATCAACACAACTTGATTGCATGTTTGGTCAATTTCAGACTGCAGAAGTTGACAAAATAAATTTCCTCATCTTTGGCTTTGGTGGTTGATATGTAAATTTGACTAATAGTAGTATTAGCTGGTCTTGCTTGTAGGCATATGGATATTATCCTATCACTGACAGCACTGTACTTCAGGACAGATCTTGAAACATCCTTTGTGGTGATGTTGAATGCCACACCATTCCCCTTCCAATTGTCATTCCAGGCATAGTAGATCATATGGTTGTCTGATTCAAAATGGCCAAAACCGGTCCACTTCAGCTCACTAATGCCTAGGATATCAATCTTTATACATTCCATTTCATTTTTGACAATTTCCAATTTTCCTAACATCATACTTCGTACATTCCATGTTCCGATTATTAATGGATGATGGATGTTTTCAGGTATTTCTCCTCAGTGTGAGTCATGCCACGTCAGCAAATGGAGATTGTGAGCACTTTACTTTATCCATATCATTAAGGTCCATTCTACTCTGAGGAGGCAGCTCTTTCACAGTCATATTTTGCGTGGCTTCTGAGCTAAGGGGCTTGTCTTCCTGCACTGTATCGGACAATGTTTCCAGGGTGTTCATAAAGTTGCCTAGTGAAGTATCAGACAGTGTTTCTCTGCTATTCATAAGGTTTTCCCTGGCCAATTCTTTGAGAAGTGGATGGCCTCTTCCTTCTTCCTATTCTTTCTCAGTTCATAAGCTATGTTGAAACATGTGCACCATGTGCAATCCTGCTGGCATTTGAAGCACCGGTGGCACAGCCTCAAGCCTCAAAGCAACAATCAAGCCACCACAGTAGGACAAACTGACAAATTTCTCTCCCTTAGTTGTTCAACACCTCTCTTCCCTCCCCTTACCTGGATCCCACAGCTCTGTCTTGTCCCCAGCTCTTCTCCCCACTTCCTGTTTCTTGGGCTGGGGTGGGGCCTGTCATCTCCCTCCCCTTACCTGGATCCCACAGCTATGTATCACTAGCTATGTTGTGTATGTATAAATGAATATTATATATGTGTGTATATATATATATATTTATATGTTTCTTATGTATAAATTCATATCTTATAAGTTAACATTGTACATGTATAAACTGTTATGTATGTATGAAACACTGACAATATAAAACATTTCAGAACTTTATCCCATGTTTCAGTTAAAAACTTCATATGTAATGACTAAAGAGGATCCATTTTGAGAGCCTAGCCAATCGTCTAACAAACTGGAGGGCTGATCCAAGGTAAGAAAGCCCTCAGGACCTGTCAGCACAGTTGTGAAGGGTTGAAATGAGTCAATATGTGCCCTCTGGCTGTGGTTCTTTGGAAAGGCAGCTTGAGAGATTTTCCCCAAGTCCTGAGGAGTTACTCTCGCCCTAGTTTTCTGCCACAGAGGGTGTGTTACCTTCAGCCAGGTGGATGACTTCTCCTGGGTAAGCTGTGAACCACCTGTGGTGTGATGCTGTCTGTCTGGCCCTGACCTGCAGCCTGCCCTAGGATGAGGATACACCTTACAGGGACTGTTCTATAGACTATGCAAAAGAAGTGACTGTAGTCTGCTCTGCAGATGAGGTGTCTGTGGCCTACTGAGAGGGGACTGGTCTGCTTGTGACACCTGCTGGGAGGGGCCCTGCCTTGAACTGGACAAGAAGTTGTGTGTATACGCAGCTCACTCCACAGAGGTCTTAGAGACAGAGAGAAGCAGCCGAGAAAAAGGAGGCAAGGAGCATGCCCCAAGAGCTGTAACCTGGGCCGCCCACTGAAGACAGCGACAGGCCCAGAGCGGGCCCTGCCGCAAAGATGTGGGGACAGACAGCAGGGCTAAGACGAGTCCGTTGTCAGGGGGCCCAGAGGAGCCTGTCCTCAGGGGGCCGAGAGAAGCTGAGAGCTGCCCTGCACTGAAGAAGGGAGACTTTCTGATTCTGATTCTAAGTGGACCCTGTTGATCCTGATCCTAAATTGTACCCTGTTACTTCCTTAACAAACCGCTTAACTGTGAGTGTGGTCTGTGAGTTCTGTGGCCACTGCAAAGAATTATCAAACCCAGCAGAGAAACAGAATGTCATGGGAGGGACAACTGGTGTCAGAATCGGTAAAAAGGTTGGAGGCAGAGGTGTGTCTGACTGCACCTCATGGCAGTCAGCCGAGGGCTGATCCTGGTCATTATCTTCCTCTAAGATGAAAGGGATGCAGGATGGGGTGGGCAACTCACCATCACA